ATTAACTCAAACTTCAACTAAGTAACAAGTATTAAGTCAAAATTCAACTAAGCAACAAGTATTATTTCAACCGTATCACATATCATCTCATTTAAGTCAATTATGTTTAATCAATCTCATCACGTCATTTAAATATACAACAATTAACCTGCTCATCATCTTTTAATCGGTCTGATATAGCTATTATCTATATATATCTGGTCGTAGTCTAATAAAATAAATCGAGTTTTTGAGAGAACGGAGTATCCGATTTGAATGATCTAGAAAACATTCAATTTGTAATGATTGGAAGAAGAGGTGATTAGTTTTTAGCAAAGGTAGGTCCAGCCATTTGGAAGATACAAGGCTAAATGTGCAAAAATGGCAGTTTTTGAGAGAACTAAGTATCCGATTTGAATTATACAAAGAACTTTCTGCTTGTTTCAACAAAATATTTGCTTTTGGGAAAAACAATTGTTCCAATTTTTTTTTCAAAGAATTTTTTTTTTTAAGAAAAAATTTTTTTGCATATCAAAAATATATCAGATTTTAATTTTAATTCTGTTCTAATATACTTTAAACAAATAATTTTAAGTTTACAATTCAGTTTATATAATTCTTATAAATATTAGACAATGTTACAATATTAATAATAATCTATTTGAAAACATTTAATAATACTCGATCATTTCGTTACGGTACGGGAAGTTCCAGCAGTTTGCCTTAAGTTTGCCACCCTACTAGTTGTAATCTATCTTGTCACAACAATTACTGTGTATCAATATAATGAATCCTAAGCAGAATCCTCATTACAATGGTGACAAATGTAATTGTGACTATAACCTGCGTATTTTTCGTTTAACCAGAAATCGCAAGTTTTTTGACACTTGATCCATTTTACGCTACTCTTATTTTCAGAATATAATCTTTCATATCAGATGATGATGCCGGTTTTGAAATCTTTTCTTTCTTGTAATATTATTGCTTTTGTCTTTATCTTCCGTATATTGTGTTAATTCATTTTGTTTTTTTTTTGCATAGGAAACATGTACTAACCGTTTTTACAAGGTTTGTCACAACCGTACTTAACGCACACTTTTTAAAATAGATTATCGTTATGACTGAGCTAAATAATCTACGTAAAAATTAATTACTGGTAATTAACAACTAATGTTCAATTTATAGCAAATAGCAAACAAAGTAATATTCATCTGTATAGAAGTAACAGTTATAATTAACAGAAATCGATCAAAAAAACTTATTTTTGACTTTTAAAAAGCAACGCGATATTAGGACTATTTTAATGTAGGGCGCTGTCTCAAAGCAATAATGGAAACTTGTTTGGACAAACATACTTTAACTTCTCCTTTTTGATCTATCCTAAAATCACTGTAGTTGTTATGACAACTGTCGATACCGTACCCTGGCACAACCCAACCCAGTCTAAAATTGTGACAAGAGAATTTTCAAATTTTACACTACAATTACAATGTATAATTTAATAATTTTAAAATTCATCTACTTTTTGTAGGCCCACGATATTTTAGGCTATTTGTATAGAAAATGAACTATGTTAAAAAAGTCATCATTAAGATAAGAAAACAACAAATCATTATGGAATTTTTTTCGGCCTATTTTTACAAATCAGCACGATTACGAACTGATATTTTATGCACACATTTTAATTTCCAAAATAATTTCAGGGTTTTTAGCAAAAACATTGGCAAAATTATTAGCACTTTTCTGCGAAATCCAAAGAAATGATCGTTTCATAAAACTAATCAACTCGAGTCCTTATTGAGTTTTATCAAATCGCTTCTAAAATTGTAAAATCGTGAAATAGCTTGTAAAATACTTTTTTTAAATTTAAATTTAAATTTTTATTGCATATATTAAATTCCGAAAAAATGTTTCGACACGAGTCAAATACGTTAGTACCAAATATTTCACATACAAATCCTATCATTTCAGTTCGTTTCACTTTATTTTCATTATTTTATTGGGATGAAATTCGGGACATAGCTAATTATTTTCAGCTTTTGAACAAATATTTCATTTTTGTCAAAACGACAAAAATGTATGCACTCTACTAATTAGCGTATAATATTTTTCCATGCGAACTTTTCCTTTTAAATCTGCGAGAGAGCATTATGTGACTACGATAGAATTTTAATTATTTTTCATTTTTAAAAATAATTAATGTTCAATAAAATATCCGCAGGCGTTACTGGATACTATAGGTTCCAAAATATATAAACTATAACCGTATCGAATATCGTAATTGCATTGATATTTATTATTATTCTCTATATAAATTAATTCATTATATTTTAATCACGTTGATGTAAAAGCGGACCATTAACTTTGTTTTTAATTACAACGGATCTGTATCATCATAACGTTAGTTTGGTGTAGTTTATTAAAATACATCATTTTATATGCAATACCGATAACCTGATTACGGTTGTGTAAAAAATCCTATTGATTTGGAAAATGCATATTTATGAACTATATCAGGAAACAAAATATAGTATTTTACAAAATTCTTAAGGTAGAAGCGCGTTAGTTTTTGTTACGAAGAATACTTTTTTAATTCAATAAAAACTTATTATAGAAAATTTTTATTTTTTATAAACAATATGTATGGATGCTATTATTAAAAAAAAATGTTTCAAATGTTTCTTATTTTTGGAAATCAGTTAGTAGCTCGACGTGGCAATTGTGTAAAAGGGCAACTAAGACTGTTTATAACAGTTTTTTTAATTAATATATTATTATCTATTGATTATAATTTATGAAAAAGGTAGAAAGGTAGAAAGTGGCTGTGATTATTAACTTCCCGTAAAGTAAGTTTTGTAATCGTCCAAAAATCGAAATTGAAATTTTTCACATTTCTCGATGTTTTGAAGGTTTCTGAACATTTTGGCATACCTCAGAAAAAATGGATGTGTGTGTGTTATGTATGTATGGATACAATTTTTCGGTCACGTTTTCGGGCGCACGGATCAACCGATTTGAATGGTTCATGAAACATTCGATTCCTATTGATAGGGAGATGTGCTGATTAGTTTTTTGGCAAAGGCAGGTCCAGCAGTTACCGAGATAAAGAGCAAAGAGTGCAGAAAATAGAAATCGAGTTTTTGAGAGAACGGAGTATCCGATTTGTATGATCTAAAAAACATTCAGTTAGTAATGATTCGAAGAAGTGGTTATTAGTTTTTGGCAAAGGTAGGTCCAGCCATTTCGAAGATACAGAGCTAAATGAGCGTCTACAGAGAAGAATACAGAAAACTAAGCGTCTGATTCAAATGATTCAAATAACTTTTTGCTTGTTGCAACAAAATATTTGATTTTGAAAAAAAAAATTGTTTCACAGTAAATTTTTTTTTCAATTTTATTTTTCAAAAAAAAAATTGTATATCGAAAATAAATCAGATTTTATTGTTAATTCTGTCTAAAGTTCTAATATACTGTAAACAAATAATTTACACTTTGCAAATTTGTTTATTTAACTCTTATAAATATTAGACAATGTTACAATATTTATAATAATCTATTTGAAAACATTCAGTAATGTTCGAACATTTCATTACGGTACGGGAGTTCCAGCAATTTGCCTTAAGGCACGGTGACATACACCCCACTAGCTTTTTTTTACTGAATCAAGTAAACATAAATCACAATGGTAGTATATTATTTCACAAATAATCAATTTCTAAAAGAAGTGCGGTGTTACAACTTCGTGCTTGGGCTAGTTGTAATACCTATGATAATTTATTACTTATTTTATGAAAACTTATTTCTTTTTTAATAATACTTTCCATACATCAACGCAAAATATTAAAATTAATATGTATTTTGTCTCCTGTAAGATAATTTATATGTAATCACATCTTACCAGCTTTAAACTTGAAAAAAAATAATTTTGTTAACTTGAAAAGTATTGATCTTATGTGTTACAACTATCTCCAAGGTTTTGTTGCAACTAACCCCATGTATGTGTTTTTTATGTTTAATTTACAACCATGTAAGATATATAAAATTAATATTATTCGTTAATAATAACGCAAACCAAATTTTATGATAGATTAATTTTATATTACTATCAAAAATGACGGACCTGCACAGTTTTGTTTACTTCATTGACCCGCGGGACAGAATCTATAACAACATTATGCAGGGAGATTTTCATGTCCAGTCGAGATAAAAATATGCTTTAACATCGTTTAAAATCTTATTGAAAAACAAATGTTACTAGTTACCCCTTTTACTAGGATATCCCATGCTTTGCTTTAAATCCAAGTTGACAATTGTGTCAACATAACATTTATAAGGAAAATTATATTTGTCAACTAATAGATAAAGAAATTTGTGTTGTACCAAACATTTTAATTTTTTATTTGTATTGTATAACTTTGTAGGACTTTTCAAATTATTATGATTTGTTTGACGCTACTTTGTAATTTTTGCTACAATTTTCGAAGGTGCTGAAAATTCTAGTTGACAGTCTTAATAATATTTGTACTAATATTTGTATTGATATCTATATTGATATTTATATTAATATTGATATTGATATTGGTATTTATATTGTTAATTATATTGATGTTTATTTTCATATTAATAATAATATTGATATTTATTTTATTACTAAGAATAATAATATTGACTACTTAAACATATCGAATGGGAAGTTTATGCAACTTTCCTTAAGGCGAAATTCCACCACCTATACCTAGTTTAATTATTAATCAACTAAACAGTTCATTACAAAATACAAGACAAAAATACAAACAAGAATTAAAATTAGAATAAAAAAACAAATACAAAAAAGAATACAAAAATTTATTCAAATTCTTTATACAATAAAAATTTATAGTAGCATTTAGTCAAAAAATTTTTGGATTGAATTTGCTTGATAAGATCATTTCACTACATTTTAATGTTTCTCTCAGAAATACGAATGAATTATTAACAAAAATAGAAAAAATTTTTATTTAGTTATTTCGGATAATTTTTTTCTAAATCGCATGCCGGAACGGAGCACGATTGATGAATAGATGTTTTACAGTGGACTGCTGTTGGTTATTCACATATCGCGGTCTGGTTGAAGAAGTTGGAAAGTTTGCATCTTGATTATCACTACCCAAAATAATAGGCTTAGTACTGGTACTATGGTTGGGTGGCACATCACCTTCTGGTGCAACGGTTTGCATTATCTGACCCATAGAACAAGCAGGTCTAGGATATCTTCCTTGGCGCAATTGTGATTGGTCACTATGGTCAACTTGTCCAAAATTCTTTCGATCATTTTGAACATGTGGCAGTTCTTTAGGGTTATTGAAAAATCCATCGTATATGACAAAGTTGTTAGACTGGGGAAGCTTTCTTGACAATCCATAATGCTTTTCCAAGAAGTTCAGCAGTTTGGCTGAAGGCCTGTCTATTGCTAAATGGGCTGGTTGTGTATGTTCAACTTTAAGCATATGCTCAAAAAGCATTTTTCCTTTACCAGATCTTTGTTGGGATTCATGGATATAAAAGTCTAGCAAACATATTGGAAATACCTGTTTTTGTTCACCTTTATCATCAAAAAGGTAGAGCTTTTTTCTGCCTGTTTTTAAAATTCCGGTTACATTGCCACGACCACTTTGTCCTTTTTCGTCAATTAACAAATATATATTCTGATCTTTATTTATAAATTTTTCCGCTGTGGTTATTGGCTGAGATAAGTTTTGAGCATTTGCAGATGCTTGACCCAATTTGTTGATAATTTCTTCGATTTTGGTCGCCACGTCATCAGCTGTTTTCTTGTCACCTTTAAAATTTTCTGGTAGTAGGTTGTTATAAATTTTTATGATTGGCGATTTTAAAATTTTATTTATATCAAATTTAAACTCCATTTGGATAAAATGAAATAGTTATGAAAAATATACTTTGTTTTCTATAGTTACAAACTGGAGGTTTATTATTTCATTTCTTTTATTACGGTTTTCATGCGATATTGAAAATGATTACTACTTATAAATTATTGCAAAATTTTAACTGCAAAAACAAATGCAAGTGTCAAGTGCCCACTAAACAAAATCTGACATGAAACTTTGATTCGCAAAATATTTTCTATTTTGACATTTTGTTCAATGCTTTGAAAAATCTAAATCTAAGTCTAAATATGTCGATGAGAAAACAATGTGGTGTGACGATAAAGTCGAAACAGGTGTCAATGGTGTTTTGTGTTAAGAAAAGCTATACAAAGCTATTATTAAGCTAATTTGGACCATGGTTCTTCACGGTATACAACTATGGAGAATAGCTTCCAAATCAAACGAAAATTTTAACGTATTTAATTTAAAGTATGTGCTTAATTAGTTAATACATGAAATCGCCGACATGAATATTATAAACGATTAAATTTAAACACATTCAGATATTTACAGCCGCTTTGAGGATCACTTTCAGAGAACTTCGCTACAACACTGCAAATTCAGGTTATATCACAACATGTCATTTTCAAAATCTCTGATAATGGTTAGAAGATTTTTATATCTTTTAAAATTTTTTTCAATCATACTAGGAGCAAAAATCGGTATATAATAAAAAACAATTCTAAAAAAGTTACATGACTGAAACGAGTAAATGATAAATAATAATTTACTGTTTCGATACAAATTTTAATTTAGCAACTTTTTAAATGATAACGAAGTAACATTTTGGCTTTTTATAGGTAATTAGACCACTTCATAAGCCTTGAAATTAAAATTTTATTTATACTATCTGTTAGTTTAATTTTTCATTTTTTATATATATTTTTATT